GTGTGCGATCATCCTGAACTCCCGCCCAGCCTCCCTCTCCCACCACCTCTGCACCAGTCCTCACCATCGCCTCCGCGGTCCCCTGTCAGCCCCTCAGCTCAACCTCAGCCCACCATCTGTGCGGTGGGATGGCCACAGGTCTGCCAGTCTCCATTGGATTCTTGGCTATATCATTTATTAACATTCTCTTCCTCCACCATGGCTCCACCCTCCGTCGGCTCCACCGTGCGTCGCCTTCATGGCTGCGGCCTGGGTCCCCCCTGGCTCCTCCTGCTCCAAGTCCCTCCTGTCTTCTCCCTGGCTCCTCCTATTTCCTCCATGGCTCCTCCCTCCTTTGTCTCCACCCTGGACTCTGTTCACCATCCTCCTCCGGGGAGTCCGTCCTCCGCCCAAACCTCCACCTGGGTTGTCTGCCTGCCTTCCTGCCAGCCTAGCACCATCCCCTGTCACCATCCCACATCCACTCCTAAGTCCCCCTCCGTCCCACCCTTTCTTCCTGTGGCGCGAGGTCACGCCTTCCGGAAAGGGGGCGAACTGTCACACCCCTTCGGACATTTTGTTGTGTTTTCATCCCTCATGTGTTCATTGACCCTGTTTCTGTCTCTCTTTCATTAGTTAGTTCCTTGTGTGCCCATATTTGGTTATGTTCCTGTTTTTGTTATGTTATTATTAGTTCATCCTCCTCAACGGTCTGTCCCTCATCAAGCTCCCCTATATTTAGTCAAGTCTGTGCATTCTGTCTTTGTCCAGTGTTAAAGATGAGTTGTGCGTGTGCTACTGCCTACCTTCTGTGGATTCTTTTGGTGTGGATTATATTAAAGACTGTTTGCATTCATCCTAGTCTTCGTCATGCGTTTCTCACTCCGCACCATGACATTAGGGTTACTTGCATGTAATTAAGAATAACTATTTGTTATTATAATAGTAAGTACATGTAACGTGTAACAAGGACACCTTAAAATAAAGTGTTACCCTATCTTTTTTTACCCTGTAGTAGTGCATAAATTAGTTGAGCTTTTATTATTGTAATTTCTGAAGACATTACTTTTATTTCTTTTTGGCTTCTGTATTATCATCTCTATATCTCTGACTCTCACAGGAAAGCAGTAAAGGCCACACTGGTTCTTCTGCCACTGCTGGGCATCACATACATGCTGTTCTTCGTCAACCCTGGCGAGGATGAGATCTCACAGATTGTCTTCATCTACTTCAACTCTTTCCTAGAGTCCTTTCAGGTGAGTAAACCAGCCCAGTCTCATGATGAAAACCTACCGTTTTTTGCAAGATGCGAAATACGTAGCACCATGTATGTTTCGTGACATATTCGGTATGAAATATCCACTAAGTGGCGCTAAAAGAGTGTTTTAGTTTTTTCCCCGGAACAGATGAATGTACATGAAACGTTGGTTTTGTACGTGTCACCGCAGTTCTGACTTGAAATGTCCGTTGATTGGCACTATAACTATAATGCCCCATGACGTTTTAAAATAACGTACCATCTGCACTACACTTAAACCTAACCGATAGTATGAACAAAAGCGAATATGACATAAAAACGCAATCATGCAATTTTAGCTTGTTTTTCGATCTCTCATCTTTGAGCTCTTTTATCGTGAGTCATGTTTTTCACAGGATTCGTGCCCAAGGATTCCGTATCCTAAATCAAATTCCGTGCCAGCTGACCTACCGAGTAAGCTTGTTAATGCCAGAAATCGAAAAGTGGAGCTGGTTAAGTGACGCAGTCCAAAACTGTGTACAAAAACGATTAAAAGTGCTTGCTGTTTTACTGCCTCTAGTGTTCATTTCTGTTGGAAACTGCAGTGATATATACTTATTGGTACGCATTTCAAAAACGTTCCCACAGGTCTGTTTTCTTCATGAGATCAGGTTGCAGCCAACACAGTTTTAACCCTGATTAATTGTGTTAAAGCAGATCCGAAACTAATCTTTACAACTTAGAGGTGGAAATTCACTAAGAATAAATTGCACCCACTGATAGAGTTATTTGCACATGCTGTCTTTTACAAAAGTGCTGAGGTTTGTCAACAAGGCACATTGTATAATAAGCCTGATTTGCATTGAAAATAATGACAGTCACTGAATCTAAATATGGCACTGTGTATTTAAGTGCATTTAGTGCTTGCTTAAACTGGATTGCAGGTGCTTAAACATCACATATTAAAGTGGTGCAGCTGTTCAGTGTTTTCACCCCAGAAGCTGCTTCACTAAAGGAAGCAGTTATTGTTTTTGCAAAAAAAAAAATAGTCGTTTGCACGACGAAATGTGTGTGTTTTGAGGTTTAGTGTTCTGTTAAACCTCACCCACATGTTTAGAATTTCCTTGTGGTACATTTCTCACAGTCCACAATGTCATCCGATGCACACAAGGTCAATTCTGTCCCGTTTTGCACCATTTGCTTCCTGGCATGACACGGTGGTCTCTCACGCATGTTGAAGCCATGTTTTCTACGGATTCATCTGCCTCCACATCTGTCCGATTCCTCATGGGAATGTCAGTTCATTTGTGGGGAAAATTTAATGTATGTTAAACGGTTTAATGCAAACAGATTGTTTTGGTTAGTTTTGGAACAATCCTGATCAAACTAATAAAAAAATGTAAAATCATTAATAAATA